CAGTACACTGCTGAGGTACGGCTTCACCGGTAATGGTGGTGCCGTCGATCCCCGCCTGCATCGCAGCTCGACCTGCAGTGAAGATTTTGAACTGTTTTTTTGACAATGTTCTCTACAACAAGAGAGAGCAACCGGTATGCCGTGCAGAGGCCCGCTACGACATCGGCGCACATGCGACCATGGACTGATCTGAACAATAGAGAACTGAAGGCCTTTCTGGGCCTTTGCATAATGACAGGCATTGCAAAGCACCCAACCCTTCATAGCTTCTGGTCCACCGACCCACTACTGAAGATGAGCCTATTCCCGTCCGTCATGCCTCGAGATCGCTTCCTTGCCATGCTGCAGTCCCTGCACTTCAACGATAACACCGCCATGCCAGATGACTGCACCGACCGCCTCTTCAAAGTGCGCCCAGTCGTCGACCATCTTGCTCAGAAGTTTGCCACTGTCTACGTTCCTCAACGGGACATTTCCGTCGACGACTCCCTGCTGAAGTTTTACGGGCATCTCCGCTTCGCTACCTACAACCCCAGAAAGAGGGTCCGCTTCGGCATCAAGATGTACAAGTTGCACCAGGGACCAGAGCACCAGGAGTTCCGCCGGGTACTGCTGCAACTTCAAAATCTACACCAGCCAAAGTAAAGGAGACCTCCGAGCAACTACACAAGTGGTGATGGACCTGGTGAATGACCTAAGTGGTAAGGGCTACAACCTTGCCCTCGACTGGGCCTTCGGCAGTCCCGATTTGTTTCGACGACTTCACAACCAGAAGTTCAACGTCGTCGGCACCATCATGGGGAACAGAAAAGGGATGCCAAAAGACCTGCAGTCCATCAAGCTGAAGCGGGGCGAAACAGCGTCCCAGTCGGCCGACCTGGGTGTCAGCGGTTCTCTCCTGGCCATGGTGTGGCGAGACAAGCACAACATCCGTATGCTCTCCACCGTGCATACGGCAGACATCCGTGGCACCGGCAAGCAAGACAGGACAGGGCAGGAAAAGCAGAAACAGACCTGTGTCATCGAGTACAACGCCCTGATGGGGGGCGTTGACAAGAGCGACCAACTAGTGGCAAATCATCGAGCAACTCGTAAGTCCCTGAAGTGGTACAAGAAGTTCTTCTTCTACCTGCTCGACTTGACGCTGGTGAACACCTACGCCATGTACCTGGCCGTTGGTCACCGCCTCTCCCTCCTCGACTACCGCTTGAGTCTTGTCCGTGAGCTGCTGTTCGACGAGCCCTTGCCCGAGTACCGCCCTCAGCACAATACTCCACCATTCACCAACTCCCGCTTTGTCGGCCGACACTTCCCCGTGGACTTTGAGAGGACCAGCTATGGCGACTTCCGCTACCGGCGGTGTGTCCTCTGCGCTTCACGTGGTCTGTGAAAGAAGACACACTTCGAGTGCAACACGTGCCACCAGCCCCTCTGCCTCGCCCCCTGCTTCAAGGAGTACCATACTGTCCACTAATTGACACTTTGAAAATTTATTTTCACTGACATTATATTTTGTGTTTTTCATGTGTGTTTTGACTTGATGCCCCACTTATCTAGTGTAAAGCAATATGTCATTTACTGGTGGTTTTACTAGGTGGTCATAGTTTCAACCTTTGATAAAATGACAAAAAAAGACAAAGTTTCTGAAAAGTACTGCTTTGAGGATGTTGTATTTTTATCTCTTGAAAAAGTGGCGCATTTCCTTGTAATGGTTTTACTAGGTGGTCATGTTTTCAGCCTTAGAAAAAAATGACAAAAAAAACCCAAAGTTTCTGGAAAGTACTGCTTTGAGGATGTTGTATTTTCATCTCTTGAGAAAGTGGCACATTTCCTTGTAATGGTTTTACTAGGTCATGTTTTCAACCTTTGAAAAAAAATGACAAAAAAGACAAAGTTTCTGGAAAGTACTTTTTATTCCTTGCAGTTTGCACCGGTGTTTGCTTTTTATTTGATTAGAAAGAGTGGAAATTTATTTTACTACTTTTATGAGTTCAACTATTTCAATGAGAAAAGAAAACACAAGAGAAATGACGAGAAGAAAATAAGAGAAAAAGAAGTTCTCTCCAAATATTTGTCTGTGTTTGTATTTCTATGTGTACTTTATTTTATTGGTTTCTAAATTTTACTTGAAATTGTTTGGGAAATAAAGTTTGGGAAGGGAAATATCTTACACTATGGGAGGGAAAATGAACAAGTTGGGAGATAAAATATGAGAGTGGTTTGGTGGGATATAAGTTTGGTAGA